AGGAGGCGTTTACATTACCAATATCAATGATACTGTTACAAAAGTTGTATCTAACTATAGTCTTCCGAAAGAAAACTCTGATTACTTTGTGGGCAGAGTTTTGAAAAATGTTCAAAGTTGCTTAAGTAACTTAGATAGTAATTTTAACACCAATTTTTGTTCCAATAATTGTACAAAATACGATAATTCAACTATAATACCATTATTATTGTCTTATCCTTAATGGTTAATGTAATTTTTTGCATATAGATTTTGTTCATAGTTTAATTTAATTCTCATATAAAGTTTACACATAAATAGTCAATTTATGTTGATATAAAGAACAATAACGAATTTATTGTTTTCATATTATTTTCCTAATGATATATATGCAATAAAAGAAATAAATCAAATTTAGGAAATTGTCATTCTCAATCTCATAGATCTGGTTCCTAAGTAAAACCAAGATTATCCATATGAGTGCTACCAATGGAGAACTTGTGAGTATGTATATACGTACGTACGTACAAATTTCTAACCATTGTAATATTGTAATATTAATTTGAGTATATAGCAAATATGTAATGCATAGTTAATAAAGTATGTAGAGCAGAAATTAAAATAGCACGTGAAAGGAATTTAAAGACTTATCTTTAGCCTAACATTAAAAAAGTGTAATATTTTAACTATTAAAAAGAAATCACTTAAAAAATTAATGTTATAAGATTTGTCAATCATACGTATTTACATTCATAAAATAATTGTATACATTACTTACATTCAAGTTTATGCAGTACATATTTTTGTAACACTCTATTAGTTAAACACTGTACGAACGTATGCATGTACAGTACCTACCTACGTACGTACGTACGTACGTACAAATTTCTACGTAACTATTGTAAAATTACTTAATTCAAACCACTGTATAAACGTACGTACGTACGTACATGCGTACAAATTTCCGGATCATTGTAATATTACTTGATTCAAATCAACTGTGTGATCCCTATTCTGACGCACAAATACGTTCCAAATACTGTATTATCTAAGCGATTAAAACTCCGTTTCAATTCGTGATACAGATTACAAATGAATTTATTATTTTAAAATAAATTTTCCAACTCAAAAAAACACATGGAAAAGGAATTACAGCATATCAGAATAGTACAATCAGACCTCCCTAAATTCGGGCTGCAGGACCAACTCTAAAGCGTTCATTCAGGGGTCTGAAATTAATAGCCAATAACATTACAACATTATTATAACATGATACGTTTAAAATGCGTGCGAGGAGGGTTGTTTAATGTTTTGGTATTTAGAGTGTTCATGTTTTGGTATTTAGTGTTCATGTTTTGGTATTTAGAGTTTTCATGTTTTGGTATTTAGAGTGTTCTTGAAATAGACTCAATAAAGAATCTGGTCGGTTAGTTATATCAGAAGTTCAATCCAATTCTTCGTTGAATCTATTTAGATAATTCTTAATGGTCAAAATGTAAATAATGTCAAAAGGCTGCTCAAACATTGATTGAGATTTTATGATTTTATTTGGGTCTACCGAAGCAATTGTGCATTACTATGATTATGAGTATAACTACAATAAGCTACAATAAGAGTAATATTACCTAAGTGTATCTCAGTAATCTGATGATTCGTATTATTATCTTAAATGTTAAGATTAATAAATTCTAAATAGAATACGTTTAATTAAATTGAGGTGAATTATAGTGAATATTAATAATGAGAAGTCATCCAGTAGTAAAATGCGGCAAACTTTGATGCTTGCGTGAAGTGCTATCTTAATGCTTCAATATAAAGTAGATCTAAATAAAAATATTTTATATACTGTAAATTAAAATATTTTATATACTGTAAATTAAATTATAGCATTTATATTCAATTTACAGTTAATGTCGTAGTTGAAACTGAGATCAGCTACTGCTAAAATTTTTATGTTTATTCAAAATATACATTAGAATATATATTCAAAACAAACACCTGCTATAAAATCAAGAACACGCCTCTTAAAATCATGAGCTTGTTCACCTTTAAAATCATAGACAAACTCAGTCTAATAAAATTATGAACTCAATTTTGCAATCACTATTAACTACTAAATTGCGAATCATTTTGTGACAATCATGAATTCATTGTCAAAACCGAGAACACACCTAATAAAAAAATCTTGAAAATCACCACTATTGAAATAATTATCGAATTCAGTACTAAATTTTGAATTCATCCATTGTTAAAATCATGAATCTATTGTTAAAATCACTATCAAATAATGAACCCATTTACTGCTGAATCACTGCCCATAATGAAATCGTAAACTCCCACTATTAAAATTACAAATCTATCCATGAATTTCCGACCCACGACTCTCTGAAAGCCTTCAAGTGAAGCATTCTAATTGTTTCCTTTTTTTTTGTCTTGAGTTTCTTGGAAAGATCCTTTAAAGCAAAGATATTTAATTGCCAAACCAATTTACGTAATAGGCATAATTTGAATGATATTAAAATACATTTCGTAAAAATTGTTAAAAATAAATTAAGCATTTAAAACAAAGATCAATAAAAAGCATTAGAAGGTTTGTGATATTTACATTTAGGAAAAAAGATATATAATTTTCATCACATTATGCATAAATACAAATCTCAACCAGTATTATTGTATTATCTGATTTGAATGTACTGTACGTCTGAGCCTCAGAAATGGCAGTAATTTTACATCCCTAACGCTAACTGTAATGTCAAAATAGTACATTGTCACATGATAATTGTACTAGCATTACAAAAGCTTTGCCTGAATTAATAGATATTTATCATGTTCGAAATTGTAAGTTTAGTTATTAGATTATCATGTTCGAAATTGTAAGTTTAGTTATTAGATTATCCTGTACCGTGAATGACTTGTTTAATTTTTGGGGGACGGATAGCTGGTGACATTAATCAGCTATTTAACTTTAATTGGCTGTACGTAGTCTGTAAATATAGTGATCAACTATTAATAGAAGTAACTTATCTCGTGTTTAATTTCTCATTCGTGTTTATTGGTCTGTGAGCATAAAAAAAGTTTTATATAGATAAACTAAAAATTTTATATAGATAAACTAAAAATTTTAATATTGTATATGTATATAGCAAACTTTTTTACTAAGATAACCTTATAACTAGTGATGATAATTAAATTTAATAAGCAAAATAATTTTTGCTCAAAAATATTTAATTATAGTAATTGTGAAAATTGCAATATACCATAATTAAATTTAGTATTTAAAATTCTAAAATATACGTACGTACCTACGTACGTACATACAACGTTGCATAGTGATAGTGCCCATGATATAAATCAAGATTGACATTAACGTAATTGTTAGAATAATATTTTTTTGAATTTGAATATATCAAACTTATTTTGTTAATATGACTGAAGAATCATCTTCAATATATTATTCTGCTCAAATAGTCAATTGCAAGTTAATGTGTCAACAAATATCAGCATTATAAATAGCTTGGAAATATGGATGATAATACGGAAGACTTGATAAATCGAATTTGAAAATGAATGATGTAGTTATATTTATAGATATTAGTAATATATTATTAAGCATCAAAAAATCCTGAAACCAAAAAAAATTAATATTCAATAAAATTTCTATACAGTAATAGCAATAACGAATTGAGTATTAATTATATTTCAATGCTGTATATTAAATATAACGATAGCATTTATTATAATTATTTATTCTGATACTATTTCATATAATTTATATTTAGAGAATATAATGCTAAAATTATTTATTGTATTTTACAATAATTTAAATATTTAAATCTGCAAAAACGATTTTTTTTTATTATCGGCTTTTAAAATGACCAAATTAATTAAGTTAACATCACTAAGTATAACGATCAAAGTACTTGATTTTTTTAAGATAAACTAATTCGCTTCTTATTATTTCTTATTCGTGTTGATTTAGTTTAAACATAAATTTATGAGTTGCAATACGTTACATTGTGATGAATTACATGTTGTTTTATTAAAATAGAAACCCAGAACAGTATGTTAGAAGTTCGCCTTTATTGGACACAAGCACTTCCCAAGCTTAATTTATAGCCAATTATAAATCATGACTTTTGAGTAATAAATACTATATTTTGTGTACAGTTAGCTATCTTTGGAAAATTTATCATCATGATAGATTATTTATAGATGGCTAACTGTATACAAAATATAATTGAAAGTCCGATGGCAGGTTTTCCCTTGGCGGCACTCAAATAATATTAAATACAATGTTATACAATTTGCAACAGGATCATAACGAGTTACATATATCACAAATTCAATTAATAAAGTCATATGACCTTGCCATATGATTTTACTAATTGAACTTAGCGTTAGTGATACAGTACGTACGTACGTACATATTTGCTACAATCTTGTCATAGGCCATCACTGGGTAGCAATGGACCGATTAATAGATGTTGAACGAATCACTCAGGTGACTCATATTCGGGTAAACCCAAAATATGGTTTAAAATTCATGACTAGGTGCTTCGACCCGTTGTTAAACAACGGGTAGTGTGATACAATGCTAGACGGATCGAACATCTAAATTTTTATAATATAGATTTTACTTTTCTTCATAATTTACTTTGTTGATAATAGATTTCAAGATTTAAATTAAAATGCCAACGAATTATTCTTATATAACAAGCTGATTTTACATCAATTTTCAAGATAAAAATAATGTTAAAGTGTTGCAAAAAACCTCCCTACTTTCTAGCAAGAATTCTACTATACTAAATGTAGTTTGGTATTCTTTGGGCAAATAAAGCTTTTCTACTTGAAAAGAAGCTAGTTTAAAAAAATCAATTCAAAAAAAATAGACAAATTGTTGTTGCTATTAAAAATAAATTGTAACACCGAAGCTAGCTTTTGTCGAAGCAATTTATTGTAAATAGGACACTATAGATGCATTAATCAACATAAATCGAGAAACGTTGCACATTAATACATGCTTAATAAAGAAAGTAAACTATGTCATGAGAAACCAAAATGCCCTGAAGTTCACTGTCAGAGCCAGGATCGAGAGTAATATCGTAATTATTATTTGGTAGTTGTTGTGAAGCGTTAAATTGATATCCAAATGGAAATAATGCGGGAATCTGCACAAGATTTGGAGTATTTGAGAATAGCATGGAAGTTTCATCAAAGTTAAATCGTGCACCATTGAAAATATAGTTTTGTTCTAAAGGTCTATAATTCTTCTTTGGACCACGTTTTTTTCCAGAATCAGCAAAAATACATTTTAGATTGAGTAGTGTACAATGGCTACAAGTAGCTTTTCCAGAGCATCTTTTATGTTTCTGTTGGCAATTTGTACATGCCTTAGTCACGTAAGGGCCTCGTTGCTGCCGTCGTTGACATAGCGGAGACATGATTAAAAATAATAATAGGCGGTTGTTGGTAAAGGCCAAAATCTTAAGAGGTTTAATTGGAAGATATGAAGAAATAAATAAAAATTTATAAAGGCGAGAACTCAAAAAATACTTATATTTATATTTACAGAAAAAAATAAAGCGTGTTATTTTTCTGTCAAAGAATCTATCATGACGTCTGTGTAATCACTGATAATGATTAGCATTTTTCAGTTATCAGTTAAAGATAACATTACTCCACAAACAATTTCCTTATATATAAGAAACTTTTGTTTATTTTTCACTTGTGTTACATTTACTGTATACACGATTATTCATACGCACTGCAATCGAAGGTTTGGCCATCCGACAAATTATAAATTATGAATGTTAATATTTCTAAATACTTAATGTATATAATGCATTATCCGAACGATTTCATGTAACTTTTTTGTAACTTATTAAATACAATATGCAAACTTTCACTCACCTCGTAAGTTGCATATTGTACATATTAAGAAGTGTCTAAATAAGTTACACGGAAGTCGTTCGGTGGTTACATAATACATGTCAGATACGTAAATTTGTTATCAGTCATGATAGATGCTGCCACTGCCGATAACCGGTTACCATTTATAACATTGACAGATAACAACATATCAGTTGTTTCTGCAAATATAATTATAATTGCAATGACGACATTGATACAATACCGCTTAATTTTATGCAAATACAGTAATATCAATACCATATCATTTACTTATTATACCATTTATAACAATAAAAAATAGGAAGTGATATTCGTACTATCATGATTTTCAAAATTTGTGCAATCAGAATGCTTATCTATGAACGTACAAACAGCTCGGGGTATTTTTACTGTTCAAACATCTTTTCGTGTTATCTATTCCCGATTCTCTTGTTTGTACTTTGGTATATTTCATGGTTATTGCGCAGATTCCAGATTCGGACTG